AGAAAATTTACATCTTGAACAATTAGATATAAAAACAATATTTTTTCATAGTGAATTGGAGGAATACATTTACATGTAACAACCAGAGGGGTTTGCAATACAAGGAAAGGAGAACGAAGTTTCAAAGCTAAAGAAAAGCCTATATGGTTTAAAGAAAGCTCCAAGACAATGGTACAAGAAGTTTGACAACTTCATGTGTAGTTCGGGATACATAAGATACCAGGCTAATTATTGTTGTTATGTCAAATATTTTGACAACTCCAATATCATTCTACTGTTGTATGTGGATGATATGTTGATTGCAGGATTCAGTATGGAAGAGATTGATAAATTAAAATAATAATTGTCAAAACAGTTTGAAATAAAGGATCTAGGAGCTACTAAACAAGTACTTGGCATGAGAATCAGCAGAGATAAAGACAAAGATATACTAAAGCTTTCACAAATAGAGTATGTCAAGAAGGTTCTTAGCAGATTTAGTATGGATAATGCTAAATCAGTAAGTACACCTCTTGGGAATCATTTCAAGTTCAGTAGAGACCAGTCATCAAAAACTAAGCTAGAATATGGATACATGGATAAGATTTCATATGCCTCAACTATCAGCTCTTTGATATATGTTATGGTCTATACCAAACCAGACATTGCCCATGTAGTGGGAGTTGTAAGCCGATATATGAGCAATCCTGGAAAGCAGCATTGAGAGGCGGTGAAATGGATCATAAAGTACTTAAAAGGTTCATCAGAGACATGTCTTACCTTCACAACTGATGGTTTAAAACTTGAAGGTTTTGTAGATGTTGATCTAGCAGAAGATATTGATAGTAGAAAGAGTACTGCAAGATATATATATATTCTAGGAGGCACTGCTGTTTCTTGGAGTTCTACCTTGCAAAAGATAGTCACTCTTTCAATGAAAGAAGTTGAATATGTTGCAGTCTCAGAATATGCAAAAGAGATAGTATGGCTATAGAGTTTCCTTAAAAAATTGGGTAAGATGAATGGAAAGGGTACTTTGTATAGTGATAGTTAAAGTCTAATCTTCCTTGCCAAGAATCCAGCATTTCACTCCAGAACAAAGCACATACAGATCAAATGATCAAATATTACTTCATCCGATAATTGCCAGACAATAAAGAACTACTGCTATAAAAGATCTGTGGAAGCAAGAATCCTGCTGACATGTTAACCAAAAGAGTTATACTTGATAAACTGAAATTGTGTAAAACTTTAGTTGATCTTCAAGAATAAAAGATAATTTTATTATTTGTCTCCAAGTGGGAGATTGTTAGTGGAGACAAACATTGTCCCACCTCCATTATATATAAGTGGGAATACCAAATTTCTCACTTGACATTAATGGAGGCTTAATTGGTGGCATAAATCATAGCATGATTTATGCCCCATTTCTCCCCAACTTTGTCTATAAATAGACAAGCTAAAGAGCTGAAGATGTGTGTGATATACGGAGTGAAAAACCGAGAGAGTGAGAGAAGTAAAGAGAGTTTGAGTATAAAGTTGAGTTGAGAAGAGTTTTTTTTTTTTTGTATTGTTTCTTTGAATGATTAATACAAATTAATAGTTTCGTAAAATAAACCAGTTACCAAACCATATAAATTTATATATATATATATATATATATATAAATTTATAGAAATTACAAGTTTGCAATATAATTGATAAAAATTAAAATGGACCCATAAAATAAGCTATTATTTATTTCATTACAACACATCTAATTCAGTAATTCAACAAATTTTTAATAATTTACAAACAAATATAATTTCACAAAATTCAAAACAAACCATAATAACTACAAAATTATACATTCATACTACAATTTCTTTGACAAAATAACAATAAAACATGTACATACTCTAACAAAATACATATACTAAAAAAATAAATTATAAATTGATATTTAAATGTTAAAATTAAAAAGAATAGATTTACTTATAAAAATTGATAAAATCCATAATAAATCAAAGCACAAATGTTGTGACCTCGTA